TACTGTTTAGGTGAGTTAGAGATAACATCGCTTACCATCATATAGAATTAGATTTCATTATTGAAGATGAGCTCAGAAGAATGCCATTTTTGCACACCCTTCTGCCGAAACCCGTCAGTGGACATGTTCATGTTCTCATGGAGAGCACAGCTGCCACCACCGCTGCTGCCTTACTTTATTGCATATCACTGTATTGTGTATCACATTCTTTTATTGTGATTTATTATTTTGTTGGATAGCACATTATTGCATAGTAAAAATACCATAGATAGATATGATTTTATATCTGTGTGATGGGCCCTGGTCACCCAGTATGGAGCAAGTCTGTCGACACCATTTTCTTAGCAGCATGTGCTTACTTCATGTCTCTCTGTCACATTTAATTAAGATACAGATTGTGCTTTCTGATCTAATGCTCCTACACTTAGTAAACTATGTATCATGTAAACTTAACTTTTCATGTACTGAGACACCAAAATATTCATATGATTAACTTTCCTAGAATACTCACCTTATCGTAGAAGCCTGGAACCAAACTTGCAGTAATAGCTCCAAGGTGTGCCCACACTCACACTCCAGACTCCGCTAAGCCCTCTCTTTGCATCATTGATAGGTTCTTAGAAACCTTAATGTTAGCAAAACTGTGTGTAATGTAATGACAGTGGATCCTTGGATAACAGGACCTAGGATAATGTTGTCATCTTTGAATTGTCCTCGTCAATGTTACAACAAAATGACATTGAACAAAACATTTGAGGATTGACTGTGCTCCTACATCCAATAGTGATGGATGTAGGGTCCATCCCAACATTGAGTTAAACAGTAGAAATTAGACACACACACACACACACACAAATGTGTTGTGTTGTGATTCCATTAATAGAAAGGTGAAAAATAGACATAAAACTAAGACTGAGCAGTAGTGGGGAATTATGCCTGTGTGTTAGACATGTATTATTTGTGCTCGGTTTTTGTTTCCTTGTTTTGGGAGCAATACCCAGCTGCACTCAGGACTTTTTCCTGGCTCTTTGCTCAGGCATGACTCTTGGTATGACTTGGGGGTCCTTATGTTGTGCTAGAGATCAAATCCAGGCCTGTTGTGTATAAGGCAAGCACTTTACCCACTGTACTACCATTCCAGCCCATGTTGTATTATTTTGTATGTAGTTTTATCACACAGGTGTTTGGAAATTCATTATGTGTTATGCTTATGATGTCTGATGCCTGATGTTTTCTCTGTGCATACTTCAATTATGAGAAAAATAAGCTCATCAAAATAAACCATCAAGCTTCTTTCTGGTACTTTCCAACTAGCTCAGCAGCTAATATAGGGAGTTACAAAGAATGAGATCATGCTTATGATCTCAGTAACTTTCTGGAATTTTCATTGACCCCAACTTCAGTTCCAACCTTGGTCTTGGGTGTTGTCTTTGACCATGAAGAATTTGTCCTGCCCACAGTAATTTACACATGTGGCACTGAACACACCAGAAAAGATTTATCTCTGAGACTCCAGAGCACTTTGAATGCCACTGCAGAGAACACTTCCTAATCAGAGAAATTCTGTGACCAAAGAAATAGTAAACAGAGTCAGAGTTACCAAAAATACTAAGCAAATGTATTTTGCAAAGATAAAAAATATATATATTCTGTTATCATTTAGAATTAGTTGAAGAAAATCTTACTCTCTTGAGTTTTTATCAGACAGGTTGACAAGTGCCAGAGCGATAGTCAACAGGCTAAACACACACTTTGCTGGTGGGAATAGCCTGTGAGCACAGCTGGGTGTGCCCCTAAGAGAAAAAAATAAGTTAATTTAAAAAAAAAGGTATAACTGGCAACTACTTTATTATCTTCTTATAGTGATTCTTGATAGGTAAAGTTTCAAATACTTTCTGCTTTGCTTTCACTGATACTGTTAATGCTCGCTTCTCTTTTCATTGAACCCTTCACACTTTACTGTCCCTTCAAAGGGCCCCCACTTTGTGGGCTAATTATGACAAATGCTGATGCAGCATCTGTTCCCAGATTTAAACACCTACAATTCTGGGAGAATTCAGCTCAAAATCAAGGTTGCAGTGTGTGTCGGTCTGCATGGTGATGTCGCCTCTGGGGCCTGCAGCAGGGATTGCACAGATGCTTCCGAGATGGCACGCCCTGGACAGGCCAGCCCCATTCGCGCTTTAAACTGCATAGGAAGTGGTCAGCCCCTCGGTTTCCTCAGGCTAACTCATTTCTCTCCATTTTGAAAACAGTCAGTTTCACATGTGTGTTTTATTACAGTTAGAGGCCAGCTGATTGTATTGTTCAATATTACAAATACCCTGTTTGATGGAGTATGGAACTTGACATTCTCAGGTTCTTTCCCTCAAAAAAAAAAAAAGTGACAGAACTGAGGTTACCAAGTGTACATATGTGTGTGGGTTGGGGGTTGGGGGAGTGTGGGGCAGGGGAGGGGGTGTTAGGGAAGGTCGGACAGACTAGAAGAAACCTGGACAGTGGTGGAGAGTTTTTATACTTTGTTGAAAGAGTCCTAGCTTTGTACCCCCAAAGCATGGACGTTAACACTATTGTAAACCCTATTTCTTCAATAATAATCAAGCAAATTGTAATCAGGTTCTGTTTGCCTCCTAGATACAAAATAAGTCTGTTCAGGAACCCAAGAGTAAAAAGCAGAAAGGTGGCTAAAGATATGTGCTTAGAAGAGAACACTGGCTTCTCCAGGATGGAAAATAGCCTGGGTTATGATAATTTTTCAGTAGTTGATTTTGGCACTCTTACCTGATTTCTGTTTCAAGGTCCTTTCATCAGAGATTACTGTTACGCCTGTGAGTTAAAAATATAACCAAGGAAAGAGTTTATATTTTAAAAAAATTTATTTTTGGTCTTTTTCTGATTTTTTTTCATGTGAAAATGAGTATGATACTAATACAGAGAGTGAATTCTTGCAGCTAATGATGATAGCATAAAGTTAGATGACTGAAGTAACTTTTGGAAGTGTGCAGATATTGATTGCCTAACTGTGATGGTGGTTGCCCAGGTTATAAATGTGTCAGTGCTCCTCAGACTGTGCATTTGAAGACTATACGGTTATCATGCAGTAGTTATGCCCAAGTAAACAACAAAATTCCCTTAAGCAGAGTGTACTCTTTCCCAAGGAAATTTTAGATTGGCATTTCACAGCACTGTAGCACTCTTCTCCCATTTTCATCAATTTGCTCAAGCAGGTGCCAGTAACGTCTCCACTGTGAGACTTGTTACTGTTTTTGGCATGTCGAATACATCACAAGTAGCTTGCCAGGCTCTGCCATGTGGACAGGATACTCTCGGTAGTTTGCCGGGCTCTCTGAGAGGGGCGGAGGAACCAAACCCGGCTTGGCTGTGTGCAGGCAAATGCCCTCCCCGGATTTCTACTTCTTTTTTTGTTTTGTTTGTTTGTTTTTTTACAATGTGATCTTGTTTTAATATTCTGCTGAAGGGTAGTGTAGTGAAGAGATTTGAGTCTTTAAGATTAGATGGTTAGTGTTTTATATTAGAATCTACTGTTAAATGAGTTTTTTCTGAGGTTTTAAATTTAAACTGATTTTTTTTTTGGATTTTTTATTAGTGAAACACCATGAGGTACAGTTATAGACTTACAAATTTTGTGCTTGTGTTTCAGTTATACAGTGATCAAGTACCCATCCCTCCACCAGTGCCCATCATCCACCACCACGGGTCCCAGCATCCCCCCCACCCCCATCCCCCCGTCCCACCCTGCCTCTGTGGCAGGTCATTCCCCCTTGTTCTCTCTCTCTTCTTTTGGGTACTGTGTTTTGCAAGAGAGGCATTGAGTGGCAATCATGTTTGGTCTATAGACTACTTTTAGCATGCTTCTCCCACCCTGGGAGGGTCCTCACAACACCCTTTATTTGGTGCTGAGAATTTCTACTTCTTGTAGGCAGAATTTTCTGATCCCAAGTACTTGAGGTAGGTGCTGTCATGTGCATTGAAAGATGCTAATCTCCAACCCCATAAGGCCTCCTGCCATCCCCAGAGTGACAATCAAAAGTCTGCAAACAGATGAAAGTCTCTGTGTAAAGCAAATCAAATCTAGATGTAGAGCACATAAAAAAATAATATTTTAATTGCTCAAATTTTATCATTTGTATGCTTAACTTATGAGTTTGTGACAAGATTGCAGATAATTTTAAACAAGCTGGAATGGTCAGAGGCTTATTGAGGCCTAACTCTTACCCACCACCCAGACAGTTGTCTCGTTTACTCATCTAGGTAGAAAAAGTACTGAAAGATTTTAAGCATCTGTGTGTGTCCTTTCCTTTTAATATGTTCTGCCAGCCTCTGCGTGGGTTTTCATTCCCAGCATCTCAGATCTAATCTCAGATATACTTTGCCTGTGTGTTACCAGAAGGTCAGGGATACTGTGAAACACATGTAACTTGAAGTGAGCAGAGGTTTTGAACAGTTCATCTTAATAGTAGCTTCTTTTCATTAATCAGTACAAGATTTGCAAAGGGATCTGTAAACATTAGTACTTCGAACTGACCTTCTTGTCTTCAGCCTTTTTTTTCCTAAAAGTATTCAGAGTAGATAGTAGTGAGCCATTTAAAAATGGCAATTACGAGTACAATTTAACCTTGTACAGATGGATAGTCATTTTTTAAATCATCTTTCTATTTAATGAACAAGGTGAGGGAAAATTACTTTTTCTAAAATGGGGTTTTAACTTGTAATAAACGCCAACCTTTGTGCCAGGAACCAGGTTTGTATTTTCTGAACATTGTCGACAGACAGGCCCAAAGCTTTATAGGAATGCCAGAGAAGTGTCACTTGAATAGAGAGTTTCTCAGATTGTTCTGATGATGTCTGTGTGCTGTTTCTAATGGCAGTAACAGCTTTTTCCAGGTGAATCAGGAGTTGTTTCTGGTCATTTTTTTTCTCCCCTCCTTGACTCCACGCAACACCGTTTTGATTCTGTTTTCATTGTGTGTCTTCCTTAGAAATACCTCAGAGACTTTTTCAGCGTGATGCTTCAATCTGTGACCTCTCCCCTTCACATCAACAAAGTGGGCCTGACCCTGTCCAAGCACACCATTTGTGAGTTCTCACCATTCTTCAAGAAAGGAGTCTTTGACTACAGCAGTCATGGAACTGGGTAGCGCCAGGGTGATGGAGGAGCCACCAATGCAGTGCCTTCCTGTCGACGCAGCCTCCAAGTGCAAGGCAGCCTCCGAGTCCTGGGCCAGGCCCGCCGCCTCCTGTTGCCGGCAGCCTCGAGCAGTTTGCCTGGACCACCTCGCCAGCTCAGACCTAGTGCCTGACTTTGCAACTGGGATGCTTTGCTCGCTGATGAGGACTTGGATGGGTAACAGTTCCTACTCCATTGCAGTTGAATGTGGCCTTTTCCCCATAGTGCTTCCTTCCTGTTGCACAGTGGAGCCCATCCCCTGTGCCAGGATGGATGTGGCTTGATTATCCAGGCTCTCTGAGCCCAGCCAGCTTGAGACCTCCCAGAGTGGGTGGCTTACCAGACCTCCCTTAAATGACTTTCATCTGGTTTCTTCTTTCACTAAAATGCACTCAGAATTTTTTATATTCTTTCCATGTGGCTGGCTTGATCCCAAGAAAAGCATTTTAAATTATTTCATTGTATTTTTTCTCCTCCTTTGAACCAGAACTTTTGTATAATACCTAAACTGTTGTTTACACAGAATTTCACATTCTGCAAAAGGGATTTTCTGTTCAATCATGACTGGAGTCTTCCAATCTCCACAAATTGGATGTCGGTTACATCATTTGAAACTTCTATGAATCCATACTAATAGGGTGTTTGTTTAATCTTGAATATTTGAGAGAATTTTTCCCAAATATAAATGGCTACTGTGCATTCTAAACTTTTTTCTGCTAAGCACAAAATGAGCATATAGGTGATTGCATATTTTTAGACATTATTTTCACATTTTTGTTACAGAATCAACTGGCTCTTTCGCTTAAAAACTAGTTTATTGAGATCCCTTAAATTACTCAGGACTTAATGTAGCATTGCACCTCCATGTACAGTGAAATTGCTTTGTTTTACAAAAGAGAAAAAAAATGTGAGCAGAAAAACACATGGTATATATTGAAATGTATATAATTCTACCTATAGATTTATATATGTATACAATTGTATAATTGTATCAAAATATGTAATCATTCACACCAAATTTATTAAAGGTATTTGCTTTTCCAAATTTAAAGTGAGCTGCTATCAATATTAAATGAAGTCCAGAATCCTATATCTCAGTTTAAGTTTGTAATACTGTCATTTCTAGAAGTCTATTAAAAATGTATCTAATGTGCTTGGAAAGAAGCATAATGTATAATTCAGCTGCATTTGTGTTGAGACGATTCGGTTTCAGTAATGACTGAAGTTCACAAGTGAATGGGTAACAAAATGTATATGTATTCAATCATCTAAAATATGATGGTTCAACAGAGCTCTCCATCCTGAAAAATAAGTATAAAGATGCAATTATCCCAATAAGGGGGAAATATTATCACACTAATTAGATACTATAGTTTAGCATGAAAAAAATGAGGACTTTGTTTTAATCTCTATGGAAAGACTTGCTTTTTGTCTGCAGTCTTTATTACAAGTATGAGTATAGAGGCAATTACTACAAGATAATTTAAAATTAGAGATTAAAAAAGATGAAAGCTGGAAGATAATAATTAACCATAGGTCATCAATTTAAAAGGAATGTGAGTGCTAAGTGCTTGCTAAGTAAACGAAATGGTATTTCTTAACTGACAGTTAATGTATTCTCTGCCCTCTGGATCAGAGGCCAGGCTTATCACAAAATTTCACTAATATCAACCCCATGTATAGTAGTAACTTGGCCAGAATTGTGTTTGTGAAAAATGCAGAAATCCTAAGACTCGTGATTCTAGTCCTCAGTTGAGGAGCAATTTGTATTTTGTTTGAGTTCAAGTTCATCTGGCTCTGGCTGAAGCAGGCTGCTGTAGCATAAAAGACTTTTCATCTCCTGGAAACTGACTTATCTGAAAATAAAGCTCCTGTAAGAAAAATCTACAGGTTCCATTCTAATCCACAGTTACAAGCAAAGGAATAAACTTCAGATGGTATGTTAATGTGAAACACCCAACTTCTCTACTATTCCAAGGCATTTTGATTTTAATAAAACCTGAGGAAATGTTGAAAAGACCATGAAAAGACCCATCTAAACAATTAATTCAGTTCCTTTCTAGGAGGACGTTAAACTGAAGTAAAATATCACCACTATGTGGAGAAAAAAAGGGAGAAATGAAAATATTTGTATTCTTCAGAACTGATGTTGAAGGCTGCCCAGACAAAGAAGTCAACACAGAGAGATTTCTGGAGTTCTAACTAGAATAGGCAGGTTATTCTTAGTAGAAAAAAATATTTGAAATATTTGCAGACTGGCAAGGGGTTGGGGTTCTGTCCAGATCCTTGGTTGACACCTTGAAGAACAAAGAAACACAAAATCAGTCATGAAGAAGCAGGATAAAGCCTGTGGCTTCTTTGTGGCTCATCACTTTGCTTGCTGTTGCAGGAGTCTGATTCAAATCCGTGGTATATCATAGAAAGAACTGGGTGAGATACACAAAATAGCCAGCAGAAGAAGGATTTTGTATTCAGTGGTTATATTCTGTAAAGTAGAGATGGTCAAACTGAGGGCTCAAAGCCCAGGGAACTTATACCAAGGCCTCTTTTCTTATGACTTGGTTGGGGCTATGCAGAGTGATGTCAGAGTTGCAAACTGGGCACTTAGGGATTCTCAGTGAATCTTGATTTGCACCCCCTGATGGGGTGAAAGAACTAGAGGCTATTTGAGTCCCAGTTCTTTCTGGTTTGTGACTGCATGGAATGTCCGGATGCGTTGTGTATATTCCAGCTGCAGATAACTAAGAATTTGGTCTGGGGGTGGGGGCGGGGGCGGGGGCAGGGGGAAAGCATAACCCTTAGTGCTCAAGGGTTAACTCCTGGCTCTGCACTCAAGGATCACTTCTGGTGGGCTCGGGGAACCATATGGGGTGCCTGCAATCAAACCCAGGTTGACCAGGTGCAAGGCCAGGACTGTACCCACTATACTAATTCTCTGGCCCCCAAATTGGTGGCCTTTTTATTGTCCTTGTTCGCCTGTTTGTGATGGACATGTGGCAATGCCTAATATCATGGGTGAAGAAGAAAATGCATATTTTTAAACATGATTGCTCTCTTTGTGATAGAAGCCAAACTAGATATAAGGAAATACAAATTAAAGATTAAAACTTATCCATGAAAAGCTCGGTCTCTCTTTGTTTTTTCCAAAGGCTGGAATATAGATGGGCTTAGGCCACAAAGATGTTCACAGCCCTCAAGGCAGGGTGTTCTTCTCTTCATGGTTGACTTACAAATCTTGGCAAATGCACCACCTTCATGCACAATTTTGTTCCACAGTGATAAGACAGATGACAAAGTTAGGAATACAAAACTAACAGCTTCACTGTGTTCTTTTGGATTAATTCAATGGAGTAAGAAAATTATAAAATGCATATTTTATTACTTTCAAGAGTATCAAGTAATAAAGTAATGCTAAGCTGATCACTCGGCAATTCAAATTGAGGTACCATTAACTGAGAAATATTTTCATAAGAAGTTGGAACAAATTTGAGGAACAAAAAGAATTCTTGAGGTATTTTCAGCATTTCCCCCTAGATTTTGCTTAATGTAATAAAAATTTCTGACTCAAACTTGTTCATAAAGTTTTCTGTCACACATAATTGTGCGATTAGTGGCCCATCCAAGTATCTATACTTGTTTATAAAAGTCATAACCTTCAGCCTTGCACCCAACCCAGATCCTGCTGTTTCTGAATTAGAAAACATAAAGTGAAGCTGAGATTAATGTAGGCATGTGAATAGGGAAGACCCAAGTCACACCGGGTCCCTAATGAGAGACATCTACAGTTTTTGGAGGCCCATAGTGGAAATGCTTTGGAAATTGATGAGCTGGTTACCCAACTCATTTTTATTTATATTTTATAGTTGAAAAAGCAAATTGTGTTCAGTTTGTCCCCCACTACCCACTGTGAACTCCAGAGGCAGGCACTTAGCCTCAAGTGAAATTGGAAGAGAGAGCAAATAGTGTGAGGGGGTGCTTTCTGTTTTCTAAAAGAAGGTAAATTTTTGGGGGGTGAATTTTTTTTCTTGAAAGGGAACAGAAAGCTAAATAAGTGTGGGGGTCTTGGGCTTAGGGGGAACCATGAACTTGAAGTCCAGTAGCGCAGTCCCCAGCCTCAGAGTTGGGCACGTACGTGGGTGTTCCAGATTCCACTTAAAAGAGCTGTTATGGAGCTGGAGAGATAGCACAGCGGGTAGGGTGTTTGCCTTGCACGCGGCCAACCCAGGTTCGATTCCCAACATCCCATATGGTCCCCTGAGCACCGCCAGGAGTAACTCCTGAGTGCAGAGCCAGGAGTGTGACCCAAAAAGCAAAAAATATGAAATTAAATAAAAGATCTGTTATTCCCCCATGCCTGAGCAACCTCACACAGCACGCTGTTGTGGGTAATTTCTGTACAATGGGCAAAGAGAGGCCCAAGAGGGGAGTCTCCCACTTTTCTCTCTCTACCCACCTCAGTCACCGAGGCAAGTGCCTGGAAAATTTGGACTACTGAGAGTCTGAGATGAGCTTCTGCCCAGTACAGACCTTACCTCCTGTCACCCCCATGACAACCTTTGTCAAACTCCCCCTGCATCCCACTTGCTCTGCCTGAGTGGGATGTGATCCCTGCCACCTGATTCCTCAGGGAGCTGTGGGTCCCAGGCTGGAGCGAGGAATTGCTCTTTGCAGGGAAGGAAAGACAGGCCTAAGTTCGGCCAAGCTTTTCACAGAAAAGAATTTCTTAAGATGAATAGTGATCGACTGCTTTAGATTCCATCTTGGTTTTGCTTCCCAAGAATTCATTGCCAACCCATCCTCAAATTCTTCCTCCACTCATCTGCCAGCCTGTTTCAATCCTGCCTACTTTAGTGCCATCCGTGCATGCCCACCGTTTCTCAAACACACCCTCAGAAGTGGAGAGAGTGTCCTTCTGTGTGGCTCCTTCTTCTGAAGCCACAACAGGTCAATTTCCGGTCAAGGGAACTCCAGCAATAGTCAATCCTCACAGGAGAGGGAGTGTTCAGTGATGCTCCCTTTTCTAAACAAGAATGTTAGAGGCTGAGCTCAAACACTCTTGCCTTGGGGCATCATCTGGGAGCTGATCATTTCTGCCACATGAGATTCTTTTGTTTTAAATTATTTTTGCGGGGGGGGGGGGGGAGGGGCTTTTGGGTCACACCCGGAGATGCACAGGGTTTTCTCCTGGCTCATGCACTCAGGAATTACTCCTGGCAGTACGGTACTCCAGGGACCATATGGAATGCTGGGAGTTGAACCTGGGTCAGCCACGTGCAAAGCAAATGCCCTACCCACTGTGCTATCACTCCAGCCCCGCACATGAGACTCTTGTTTTCCCATAATCCTATAACCAAGAAGGTCCAGGTCCACTACCGCTCAGGTACCGATCAATCAAGAGACCCTGTGAGCATAGAGCCAGAGAGATAGAACAGTGGAAAAGAACCCTACCTTGACTGTCGCCAACCCCATACCAATGCCCAGATCCATATATGGCCCTTGGAGTTCCACCAGGAGTTTTGAGCATAGAACCAGGACTAAGTCCAAAGATTAAAAAAAAAAAATAATAAGATAAACAGTAATGGGTGGAGAAAGAACCGTATTGGCATTAAGCCAGAAAGTTGGATGCTGTCAGACTCAAGTCCACAAAGCAATCATCTTTGGTTACAAAGTTGCCATTTTTAGACAGAAAGAGGACAGGAAGCAGTTGATGCAGTTGGGCCTCAGGATGAATAATAAAAAAAAATCCCTGGTGTGCTGATCCTATGAGACACACTCCATTTTATCTGCAACCTACATGAAATAAGGAATGGGCTTTTGGAAGAGCAGTGAGCTCAGGTCTTTTGACTTCAGGGCAAGGAGGAGGCAAGGACAGCCTAGCCTAGATGGATTTTTTTTTTGGCCCAGTTCTTGCTGCACATACTTGCAAGTTTAAATTGGACCTCTTTTTTTTTTTTTTTTTTACTGGAAAGGCCTTTTTTTTTAACATTCATTTTGAATAAGAGGAAAAAGAAAATATAAAAGAACTCCCTGGCAAAAGCAACTGCATCAGTATTTATTTAAATGACTTTGACATGTGGTTGATGTTTGTGGGGAACGAAAGCCCTTTATTCAAGAGGAAGACCCCTAGGTCCACGGATGCTGGTTCACCTCCCCTGATCGGCCCTTCTTCCCGCAGGAAGGAGGGCCTCTTATTTGACTTTCTTTTCTCATTTAAGATGACAATACAGTAGGTGGTAGACACTTCTGCCTGTTCAAATTTTGAATTTCACACTGTGGAGTCAAATTAGGCTCAGAGGAGGTGAATTTGCAGAAGGTTTTGAGTCAGCCATGCAGAGAAAAAGAATCCTTACCCTCAGACTGTTGGAGGCCTGTGGTCACAGCCCACTGCCAGACCACACTCGCTGCAACAGCCAGTTGTAGCATCCATTGGGCCAGGTGTCTTCTGGTGAGATTTTACCTCTTAATTTGTATTTCCTCACCTTGTTAGTTTCTTCCTCAGAGATAACCATTTCCATTTCAAGAGATGCATTTTCTTGTTCAGCCAGCATGTAACGAATTGCCATGTGTCCTTCAAAAACAAACACTTTGTTACTCAAGGATCGCCTTCATGTTAGTAGGTCTTCCGTTGGGAGTCGTCAGCCCGTTACAGTGGCCTGCCAGACGGTGCCTCTCCTGGCAGCTCCTGAGCAGCCGCTAGTCAGTGTCTCTCCCTGTCGAGCCTTCTTCCCTTGCCAGCCCTCTGCATCAAAGCTATCAAATAATGTTGTTTGTGTTTTTTTTTCCCTCAGCAGTGGAATTTTAGTTCAAAGTTATGGTAATCCAAGGAGAAATTAGCCAGTCCTAAGTAACCCCTGGAACTGCAAAGAGAACTCAGTGCTAACTCCCAGCCAACTCCCACTCAGAATTTTTTTTCCAAAGAAATGGGAATGTGGGGAGAGATATTCCTTTGGATAAGGGGCTTGACTTGCATGCAACCGCCCCAGGTTTGATTGCTGATGCTGCACTGGATCCCTGGAGCCCTTCAGGAGTGATCTCTGAGAACAGAGCCATGAGTGAGCCCTGATGTGGCAGCAGGGCTTACTCATGTAAGCAGAGATTGTGGGAAAGCAAGTACGCAAGAAAAAGGAATGGGGATGGGGGGGGGGGGGGGGAGGTGAGGGGAGGGAGGCCGGGCAGCCGGGCAGCCGGGCATCCTGCCCCTGGTTGAACTTCCAAGCCTTTCAGTGCAGCCTGAAGTATTCTGACTTCCGGAGTTGGTCATGCTTTCATTTACTTTCTACCCCAAGTTTAGGGGAAACAGGTTTGCCAATAACTTATCTTTATAGTTCTGGAATCCTCCTGGGTACATGGGGGAATTGGCACACTTTCTGGGAGGGAGAGAGGGAGGGAGACAGAGACAGAAAGAAAGACAGAGAGAGGGAGAGACAGAGAGAGGAGAGAGAGAGAGAGAGAGAGAGAGAGAGAGAGAGAGAGAGAGAGAGAGAGAGAGAGAGAGAGAGAGAACATTACAAAGCTGTTTGGTACCATGAAGGCAGGTTGTCAGAAACATTCTCCAGAATTTAAATTCAGAGAAAAATAACAATAGAAAATACAGCTGAATGTCATCACTGC